TCACCATGGCAGAACAAAATAGCTAAAAAAAATTTGAACAAAAAAGTCTCACACAAGGCACAAACAATAAAAAAAAGTAATAAAACGTAGTAAAAAAAATTCAGAGCTGACTTTCATATGATTCACCTCTGTCTCTGAGGGGAACAATATTTTTATTTTGAGTAGTTTTTCAATTGATTAGGATGTTTTCTCTGTTTTAAAATTAAACAAAGAGGATCAGTGTTATTTTTCAACTTAGTACATTACATAAAAATTCAATGAAAAATACATCATAAACTCACAGCTAAATGCACCTGATGCAAAATGTATAATTTCAGTGATACATTTATTCACGTTGCACACAAAAAAATTAAGCTAAATATAGTCATGTCGCAGTGGTTTTTGTCATATCAGTAACTGTATTAACTTTTGGTAACATTATGCTTGCAATACCATTGTAAATCAGACATAATTTGACTAAATTCACATTGAATTAACATTAAATGGACTCTTACCTCAATGTGTTTTCTCAAACTTGATGATACAATCTTAAAAGCACTTATTTTCGTGGCAAACAAAGCCATGTCGCTAATTAAACACCTGGCATTAGGCAAACTGCTAAATCATGTTCACGGGATTTAGCTCATAAATAGCATACAGTACCTTCAGCACCCTGCAGATGGCGATACCGCCTCGTCCGCCCAACAAATTAGCCGTGGTAGATAAAAATGCCGACTTGTCGCGCACAATCACAATGTAACGAGTAACAGTAAACGTCCGTCCAAGGGTAGTGGAGTAAAGAGTACATATATTCAATCAAAAATGTAGTCAGGAAGAGAGTAAAAGTTGCTTATATTTTTATTACTCAGTACAAGTACAAAGTAGCCCAAAAAAAACTTAAGTAACAAAGTCAATTTACTTAAGTACTTTACACCACTGCCTATGAAATGAATAATTTGCAAAAGAAATGTAGTCTACTAGAAATGCACCTAAAAACATCTCTTATGTTTTGGGGATTGCTATTTATTTTATATGTCTGTAAAGCTAGATTACAATGAGTTTGTTAACTTGGCAACACTTTACAATAACAGTGATTAATAATTTGCTAATATGTAAACTAAACCACTTTATTATGAACTGAGATAAGGCTTGTGCTAATCATGAACTAACTAAGTCATGTGAGTTCGGCTACTACAAGCTTGGTTGTTAATTATTGTATTAAATACCATAATTTGACCATCATGAAGGGTGAAGCAGTGGTTCGAACCTTGGCTCAGTTGGCGTTTCTGTGTGGAGTTTGCATGTTCTCCCTTCGTTCGCGTGGGTTTCCTCCGGGTGCTCCGGTTTCCCCCACAGTCCAAAGACATGCGGTACAGGTGAATTGGGTAGGCTAAATTGTCCGTAGTGTATGTGTTTGAGTGTGGATGTTTCCCAGAGATGGGTTGCGGCTGGAAGGGCATCCACTGCATAAAAACGTGCTGGATAAGTTGGTGGTTCATTCCGCTGTGGCAACCCTGGATTAATAAAGTGACTAAGCCAACAAGAAAATGAATGACCATCATAAACTCATTCATTCCATCATTTTCCTAGCGGCTTAGTCCCTTTAGCTTACACAATTCACCTGTACTGCATCTCTTTGGACTGTGGGGAAAACCGGAGCACCCGGAGGAAACCCACACGAACTCAGGGAGATAATGCAAACTCCACACAGAAACGCCAACTCCTTCTTGCTGTGAGGTGACAGCAGTACCTACTGCACCACTGCGTTGCCCGATCATGAACTCATGGTATATTAATGTATGATTATGTCATGACTTTACTTGGAGGGGCACATAATTATTAACCCATTCTTAACTACTCATGAACTCCTTATAAATGTCCATCTAGTGCATTTACACTGATAAAAGAAGTGTTCTGTCGTCATCAACATGAACAACGTAAACTCAGGAGTTCATGAAGGATGAGTTAATGGTGATGTGCCCCTCCAAGTAAATTCATGACATAGTTATGCATTCACAGCTCATGAGTTAATGTTACTGTACTATCATTTAGCTTATAAACTTGTGTTAATTAATACATTAATTAACAACACATAATTAAGGTGGCTGCTATTCACACATGAACTCGTGAACTTGTACTGGTAACTCTGGGGTCACCAAACTTGTTCCTTGAGGGCCGGTGTCCTGCAGATTTTACCTCCAACCCTAATCAAACACACCTGAACAAGCTAATCAAGGTCTTACTTGGTATACTTGAAACATACAAGCAGGTGTGTAGAGGCAAGATGGAGCTAAACTCTGAAGGGACACCAGCCAGGACTGAGATTGGTGACCTCCGCCTTAACTCATCATTAATTTATTATAATGTTTAGTTTACATATTATTACATCATTATTCATGTACTGTTATTGTAAAGTGTAACTTAATTTTATAGCATGTCTCAAAAAGCTGATCATGAAAATTGACATTTTTGAAGATGGACTTAGGGAATTGGAATTGCTTTTAAAGAAACATTTTCAACAAAAAAATCTTTATTTAATACTTAAAAATTACACAAAATCCTCTAAAGTGCAAAAGTGCATTTTTAATATTCCAGTTTAGCTTGTTTTATTTTTATTTTTTTTATCTACTCCTGCCTCCAGAGCGCCACATTCCTGCAGAGTTCCTTCAGATTCACCTACTGAATGTTAAATCATGCTTTAGAGCAGGTTCAGCTGAGTTTAATAGGCTAGATGCTCCCCAGAAGCCTGAGGAACCATCACAGACAGGCACCAATTCATTTTCCTGAACAAATTCATTCGCTAATTTTCGCTGGTGGAATACTCTTTTCAACATCACCCGCAAGGCTGAATTAATATTAATAATTAATTCAATAGACATCATTTTTAATTTTCAGGCAACAAAGGTTAATAATGTAACAAATGCATATATCAGTTTACTAATACATAATCCTGTCTTGTAAAGAGTCACTGTATTATGAATAGATTGATATTAACGTCAGTGTGAACCAGAAGTTGCTGAGGCAAAAATATTGAGGGGACATAGCCTCCATTTAGCGAATTATTCCGGTAGTCTCAAAGGAATACATTAGGGTTTGGAAGTGATAATCAGTGTTAGGGAAAGTTATTTTTGAAAGTAATGCATTACAATATTAAGTTACTTAGTTACTTTTTATGGTAAGTAATGTGTTACTTTTGAGTTACTTTTTATTACTTGGCTGAGGCTTCAGAACTCAAGCTCTTTCAGAACTTGTTTTGTTTTAATAGAGTTCTGCAATTGACAACACACTGCATAACCATCATTTACCTTAAAAAAAACGCAATAAAATATATTTTAGGATACTGTTTTCTTTCAACTTCCTGCCCCCAGAGCTATACATGCTGTATTTATAGGTAAAAAAAAAAAAGTTACTGCTGCTTGTTCAAACTACTTATTTAAAATGAGCTGAAACAACACAATTCTTGTGATTTCTTTGGCCAATTTGTTTTATGCTCAGTCCATTTAAATTTGTAATCCATTAAGTTAACTTAAATGATTTGAGTTGGTCCAACTACCAGGTTACGGGATTTTTAGCATTGAATTAGGAGAGGGAAATGATGACAATAAAAGCAATCTTAGGTGTTTAAAGTTAATAGAAAAACTTGTTAGATTTTAATCGTCACTTTAGTTTGAAGAGTTAGAAGATTTTCATGTAAGGCTTTGAGTTTTGAGATTACCACCTTGTAGTTTAGTTCCAACCCTAATTAAACACACTTCATCAAACTAATTAAGTCCTTCAGGTTTCAAACAAACCTGAAGGATTTAATTAGTTTGAGGAGGTGTGTTGAAGCAGAGTTGGAATTAAACTATGCAGTTTGACACCCTGGCTTTATTAGGCATATTAAGGGCTTCAAGAGTTCACACTTAGCTGATAATCAATAAAGCGTATTTGGCATGCTGTCCCGGGAGAGAGCCCTGAGCTCGTAATATCCTCGAGCTCGGGGCTCCCTCCCGTTAGAAGGGCGAGAGGGGAGTTTCAGCTCAGGTAGGTCTCGAGAACTCCCCTGCTTGTCGCCGTGAGAAGTGTAAACTAAGGTTGTATTGGGTGATCATTTGGTTTAGTCAATTGGCTATGGTTTGTTTTGGGCGGTGGGAGGAAACCGGGGGAAACCCACACGAACACGGGGAGAACATGTAAACTCTGCACAGAAACACCAACCGGCCCGATAGGTTGGACCAGCAGTGTTCTTGCTGTGAGGCAACAAGTGCTAGCCACTGGGCCACCGTGTCGCCCTATCAGAAAAAGGGGGAGGAAGTAGGGATGAAAGGGGGTGGGATGGCTTCAAGACAGGGGAACTTCAAGACGAAGATAACTGGAGTGAAAAACTCAGATTATTTATAATGCTTCCGTAATCATCTAATAGGGCAGATAACGGAGCTAATAAGGAGCCAGCCGTGTTGATCATAAGCACGTGATCTCTCGAAATTAGTTTATGAATAAACCACACATAGGTATGAATATTGTAGCTGCCACCATCAAACTGTCATCAATAAAAAAGGACGACCATTCCGAATGTAAAAGCAAATGGTCAGACTTTGATTAAAGATTTGGGCGAGGCAGTGGCGCAGTAGGTAGTGCTGTCGCCTAACAGCAAGAACGTCGCTGGGTCGGTGGTTCGAACCTCGGCTCAGTTGCGTTTCTGTGTGGAGTTTGCATGTTCTCCCTGCCTTCGCGTGGGGTTTCCCCCACAGTCCAAAGACATGTGGTACAGGTGAATGGGGTAGGCTAAATTGTCCGTAGTGTATGAGTGTGTGTGTGGATGTTTCCCAGAGATAGTTGTGGCTGGAAGGGCATCCGCTGGATAAAAACTTGCTGAATAAGTTGGCGGTTCATTCCGATGTGGTGACCCTGGATTAAAAAAGGGACTAAGCCGACAAGAAAATGAATGATGAATGAATGATTAAAGATTACCAGAACCAATTTTTTTTTCCACTGGATTAACTTGCACTGATTAATGGTTCATTTAAAGAATTGATTTCATCCAGATATTAAAAATCTTGTATGTTAAAGATAATGTTATGTATAACATAACTTTCCACAAAACATGAAAACACCCCTAGGATTTCATTGACATTCCTTGTCCTCCTAAAATAAAGGCCACAAATGTGAAATTGACATAAACGGCTATGATCCAGTTCTCGTTGTGCTCTCAGTCAGTAAACACTTCTCTCCAGAACTGTGTGATTGTGAAGTTTGTGTTTGTGTGAAGCATCTGTGCGAGGGCTCTGGCTTCTCTCTTGGACTGCTCATAACTGGCTCCCCACATCTGCCGAAGAGACGAGCTGGAGCTCAAGGCGAAGTCAAAGAGCTTTGGAGGCGGGCACGTGAGGTGGCTTTCTTCAGCTCGCCAGACTTTAGGTGGAAGCTTCTGTCAAAGGCCAAACAAAACAACCAGTTAACAATAGCAGATTTTAGATTTGATTAACTGGAACAGAAAGTCTTATCGGTGAAAGCTTTTAAGCTCAAGGAGAGTACAGACAGTGCCAATTTGAGCCCTTAATTATTGATAGTGCTATATTTAAAATTTGACAGCAATGTGGCTAGGAGGAAATAAACGTTGAACTTCACACTGTATTTAACCTTGGGATGTTGTTCTAAAAACATTTAAGTTACCCTCATGTTTCACCAAAGTGGGGTTAGATCAACTCTTTACCCATGAAACCATGCAGCATAGCAGAGCAAGAGCCGTTTCAGCTGTGAAGCCAAACATGCAGTGTGAAACATTGTGATAGTAGAATGTAACTGCTAAGTGCTTAGCAACTGACAGCCAATCGTGTACTTCATAATCAAGAACATTTATAGAAACACAGCATGTACTGTACACTCACCGGCTACTTTATTGGGTAAACCTGTCCAACTGCTTGTTAACGCATATTTCTAATCAGCCAATCTCACTGAAGCAACTCAATGCATTTAGGCGTGTCGACATGGTCAAAACGATCTGCTGCAGTTCAAACTGAGTATCAGAATGAGAAAGAAAAGTAATTTAAGTGACTTTGAACGTGGCGTGGTTGTTGGTGCCAGACAGGCTGGTCTGAGCATTTGAGAAACTGCTGATCAACTGGGATTAGCACGCACAACTATCTCTAGGGTTTACAGAAAATGATCCAAAAAAGAAAAAATATCCAGTGAGCGACAGTTCTGTGGGCGCAAATATAGAAGGTTGGAAAAACGTTGACTGATCTGATGAGTCTCGATTTCTGCTGCATCATTCCTATGGTAGGATCAGAATTTGACATCAACAACATGGAAGTATGGATCTATCCTGCCCAGGAACGGATTGGCCAATCGGGAGGACCGGGAGAGTTACCGGTGGGCCGGTCCGTTTTTTTGGACGCGAGGGCCGGTGTTTCTAGCTGCTTGCACTCTTAGCAGTCGCACTTTTTTTTCATTTATTTATTTATTTGACCATAGCCTCACTCTTTTTATTCATTATTTTGCCGCAACTCTGCTCTTCTTATTTGTTGTCTCGCAGCCCCATGAGCAAAATGCAGCCTGCAGGGTAATGATGATTTAACAATCATTCCGGCCTCACAGTAATTACAGTGCCATTGTGGTCCAGTGGTCAGCTCGTTGTGTTACGACGTCTATGATCTGGGTTCGATCCTCACTTGAGTAGTACTTCTTTTTTTTCTTTTTTTTTTTCTTTTTATTATTGTTAAGACATATAAAACTGCAAGGTTGTTGAACATTTGAAGTTCTAAAGCAGCTGTTTTCTTGAAAAAGACGTGATAGTGTAATTAGAAACTGAATTGGGAATGACCTTATTTTAATATAGTCAGTCGTGAAATGAGGTGGGCCGGTCTAATGCTTGAAACTCCAGGGCTGAAAAGGAGTCCCACTCCGGCCCTGATCCTGCCTTTTTTTCAACGGGTCAGGCTGGTGATCATAATTAACGTTAGCTCCACAGCTAACTATCAGGCACCTATAGAGTTAATGCGTTCCAGTAAAACATATACAAATAAAATGGAGCGGGTGCTTTTTAAAATAAATAAAGGTGAATAAAAGTCCAACCGGTGAGCCGTCTGACAAAAAAAGTGGCCATCTTTATCAAATCAGCAGGTTACCCTTCTGCATCTTTCACTTACTTTGAAGACATGCTGACTACGCCTACATAGACATCAGTAATAGTTATTTGCCTTAATCTGAATAAGACAATAATCTAATTAAGGTTTTAAGTGAAGTGCTTTTTGAATGTTGCGTTACCAGGCTATCCACGTTTCCTGCAGAGTTTCATGTAATTTTGGGGGTTTCATCTTTAATTTTTCGACTTTAACTGCAGTTCGGCAGTTTCCCTTTCACTCATGAACATTTCATTCATGCCCCTGTGACAAACTGGGGTATTAAACCAGTAAGAACTGGTGGAAGAGTGTTGTTTTAATGAAATTTGATACCACACGCCGAATGGAAAGAAAAAAACTTCTGCATTTCGTGATGAGTGTGTGTGTGAATCTTGTCACAAAATACGGTGAAAAGTCCTACCTGATAGTAATAGTTTAACTGCGGTGTTTACTTCAATAATGCCACTAATATATGCATACTCCCCGTCTTAATTCTATTTCTGTTTAGTTCAGTTATTATTAGTTTAGTGGGATTAAGGTAATCAAAAATCATTGTTTACATGGTAGACTCTTAATCAGAGTATTGTCTTTATCATATAAAAATCGTATTAAAGTATTGTTGCCCATGTAAACATACTTAATGTTCGACTCAACCACATCGTCAGGGCTCTGCGAACTTGGCTTTGCGAAGAAGCATTTTCTGTATGTACGTACATTTAAAGCAAGTAGGCTATGGCTCATGCTTATTGACAGTGGAAGATGATTTACGATTAGTCATGTCAGCAATCCAATTCAAACTAATTAAATTCTGCTTGTGTCCTAAAAGTTTGAAAACCCCTGATTTAAAGGGACAAATCACCCAAATTTAAAAATGTCCTCATCGTTTACTCACACTCAATCAAGTGGTTTTAAACTTTTACAAACTTATATTTTCTGTTGAACACACAATGAGAAATTCTAAAGAATTTTGGAACAAATTATACGGTGGAAGTTAGGGCTGTGCAATTAATCGAAAATCCGGTTTCGATTTCGATTGCGGCTCATAACGATTATGAAAAACCATCAATCGAGATAAACGATTATTCCATCATATACCACCTCCTTTCCATTTCCACGTGAAAGTGACTGAAAGATGTGCTGTAATGTAACTTCTGCAGCATGGGATGTGCATCATTCATACTCTTAAAAGCGCGAAAGAGCACGCACTGTTGTGTGTGTGCATGCTGCGCTTAGCCTTGGACAGGTATTGTGTGTGTGTTTGTCTGTGAGCGCGGTCTGCGCTTAGCCTCAGACAGCAGAGCACACGCACATCTAACGCCATCCTAATGCGAGCGCTTTAATGGTCCAATACATGCACGGTGTTCAGTGATTATTCATATTAATCCTCATTTGTGTAATAAACAAACAAGTTGAGAATCAAAAGACATGTGAAAGAGAAACCATATCGGAGCCGCACTATTCTTAAAGTGACAGCGTGCGATATTTCTGCTGCTTTTTTTATTATTAATCAAACAACAAAAGGACAAAATCCACACGCTGCTCTTGACTGAAGGACTTTTTTTCTTACTGTGAAGATGTTTAAAACACAGTTTAAACAGATTTAATAGCTCATTTCTAATAACTGATTTCTTTTATCTTTGCTATGATGACAGCACATTATATTTTATTAGATATTTTTCAAGATACTAGTATTCAGCTTAAAGTGACATTTAAAGGCTTAATTAGAGTAAATAGGCAAGTCATTGTATAACAGTAGTTTCTTCTGCAGACAATCAAAAATACATATTGCTCAAGGGGGCTAATAATATTGAGCTATCAAAATAGGTTTCAAAATATTTAAACCTGATTTTTTTTAAGCCTTTCTTCAGAAGAAAAAATATTATAGGAAATACTGTAAAAAATTGCTCTGTTAAACATAATTTGGGAAATATTTGTATATAAAAATAAATTCACAGAAGGGCGAATAATTTTGACTTCAACTGATAATCGTTTTGAATAATCGTGATTACAATTATGACCAAAATAATCGTGATAATGATTTTTCCCATAATCGAGCAGCCCTAGTGGAAGTCAATCATTGCTGATTTCCAACATTCTTTTAAAAAATCCTTTCTGTTCAAAATAAGAACGAAACTTGATCAGATTTGGAATAAGTGGAAGATGGGTAAATGATGACAGAACTTTCATTTTTGGGTGAACTGTCCCTTATAAATAATGTCAAGTTGTCATGACAGAAACAGGTTGTAATGTATTTGTGTTGGTGGATGTACTTGCATTCAGATTTGGGACCACCTGGAGTAGAATAATTAGTACATTTTCATATTTGGGAGAACTATCCCTTTAAGTGTGAGAAGCGCACAAGTTATTTAGCAAAAAGCCATTTTTTGCTGATATAACAACTTTCCATAATATCCCAAAACTCTCCACTCCACTCTCAAAAAAAAAAAAAAAAAAAAAAAAAAAAAAGTGAAGTCTTGGGAAATGGAGCCAAAAACCCAATTTGATTACCTCTTCCTGCCTGTGGATGTTCTCCCAGACCCTGCTGCACACCATGCACTCAAAGACGTCGATGAAGTTATCCTGAGTGATGTCCTGGACACCCCACGGCCGTTCCTTCAGCTCTTTCAGCAGATTGATGTTCGTGATTTCCCGCTTGTGCTTCCACTCTAGATATTTCAGATACTCCCAGTCGTTCTTGTCCAGCCTCTTTAAATACTGAGCGAGCTTCTTCGGCGGCTCGTTGGGATTGACCACTATTGCACTCTGGTTATCTGGCAACCACATGTGTATGTTTGGTGCTCCATAATACACAGGAACAACACCTAGTTTGAGAGGCCTCCACAGTTTCTCAGTTATATAATCGTCACAGACAGCGTTCTCGAAGGCCAGGATGAACTTGTACTGGGCGAGGATCTTGTAAAAATCCTGATCGTCCATGGCGGTAGAGTCTCTCAGATGGGGCGGCAGGTCTTTATTATGAAGACACTGTCCGTATGAGTCCACTTGAATGTGCTGCATGAGCTCTCGGATGTATGTGTCTCTATCAGACGGTGGGTCACAGTCAGATTGGACGTAGACAACAGGCGCCAGAGTTTGCCTGAGGTGGTTTTTGTAGGACAGAGGCAGCAGGTGTGTTTGTGCGGTGAGGGTGTTGATGTCCTCCAGGTGCTGTGTGGTGAGCGGCAGATGAGAGTGGCGGCTGAAGGTTGCTGTGTGGTTGAATTGGGTAATGAGTGGCTTGTGGAAAAGCTTGTAGTTATTTTTGGGAGACTCCTCATGAAATAGTGCCCACTGATGCTGCTTGTGTCTCGGAAGAGGAAGACTTTCAATGCTGAAATCAGTGCCTGATGATGAATTAAAAAAAAAAAAAAATTATATATATATATATATATATATATATATATATATATATATATATATATATATATATATATATATATATATAATAAATGTAAGTACAGGAGTATTTCAACATAATTTCTAGTTTTCTGTTTAAACCACACATATTTTATTATGGCTTTTGTTTAAAAAAAGGTATCCTAAAATATATATATATATATATATACATCAATAGAAAGGAACACTCCACTTTTTTTTGCAAATAGGCTCGTTTTACAACTACCCTTGAGTGAAACATTCATTCATTTTCTACCACTTTTCCGGGGCCAGGCAGGGGCAACAGTCTTAGGAGAGAACCCCAGACATCCCTCTCCCCAGACACTTCCTCCAGCTCCTGTTCCCAGGCGAGCCGAGAGACATTGGGCTCTATTTTGACGGTCCATGCGCAGAGCGCAAAACGCAGGGCGCAAGCGCTTTCAGGGTGTGTCAGAACGCATTTTTGCTAATTTAAGGACGGGAAAATCCGCTTTGCGTCGTGGCACATGGTCTAAAAGGGTTGAGTTTATTTTCTTAATGAGTTATAGGTGTGTTTTGAGAATAAACCAATTAGAGTCTCATCTCCCATTCCCTTTAAGAGTCAGCTGCATCGCGCCATAAGCACATAGGACGTAAAGTAAGTCTAAGTGGAAAAACTGAGCATTTCACTAGCAAACAGTTAACAGTTTTTTTTTACAGATAACTGTTAAACAGAGCATCTACTGTGTGAGAATGAGAGATAATGGATCTACTTTCACTTTCGCTCTTGGATAGGGAAACCTTTACGCACAGACATCAATTAGTCTATAAATAATTAATTGCGTTTGTTAAGAGCAAATATTCGTTTCAAAACTATTTCTAAATTCAGTTCTAATTTCCAGCAAACGAATAAATGAACAATAAAAACGAAGTGTGCTCAAAAACCTGAGTTATATCCTAAAACACATGCTGTGCCCCATATGGTCTAAAACCTGACAGGTGGGCAAATCTAAGCTTGTTTTTAATAAAACAAATATAAATATGGATATAATAAATAATACTGCTAATAATAATAACATTATACAAAAGCAAATTGTTATGAATGAACTGAAAAAGCCTCCGGAGATGAAGAAGGCATAAAAGCAGTGATTTTTCATATTTATGTATGCTAGAAAACAATATGTTTTGTAATATTTTAATCCTTTATATTTATAATCCAATATCTATTCTTATTATATCCTATATAGATCCTTAATATTTACATTTTTCATATGTAAAGATATTTGCCTATTGCTCTCTTGTGCGTATTAAGCAGTGTGTAAGCGAGGCGCAACTCTGCGCCGGAGTTTAGACCGGGTTTGTTTTGGTCTAATGAAAAATCTATTTTAATTTCTCAAAATAGCAACGCGCCAGCACTGCGCCTCAGAACGCCTTCCTTTTTAGACCAGAACGCCTATGGACGCACATATGAGCGCTAATGCATTTGCTATTTAAACAGCGTAGCCCAACGCCTCAAAACGACTCTTGCGCCAAGCTGAAACTACCAAACAAGTATTGCGCCGCGCCTTGCGCCACATTGCGCCGGGTGTATGATAGGGCCCATAGTCTCTCCAGCGTGTCCTGGGTCTTTCCCGCGGTCTCCTCCCGGTGGGACATGCCTGGATAATCTCCCTAGATAGACACCCAGAAAGCATCCAAAACAGATGCCCGAGCCACCTCAGCTGACTTCTCTCGATGTGGAGGAGCAGTGGCTCTACCCTGAGATCCTCTCGGGTGACAGAGCTCTTCACCCTGTTCATAAGGGTGCGCCCTGCCACCCTGTGAAGGAAACTCATTTCGGCCGCTTCTATCCGAGATCTTTGGGTCATGACCGAAAGGACAAGATCTCGGATACAAGTGGCCGAAATGAGTTTCCTTTATTAAATTTAAAATAACATGGTTTGTGATGTACTATATTATGTTTTTAATACTGTATCTCCATGCTATTTTTCCCAATAGTCTACTGAACAAACCATCGTTAAACAATAACTTGCAAAATTACCCTACCCTGTCTAGTTAACCTGATTAACCTAGTTAGGCCTTTATATGTCACTTTAAGCTGTACAGAAGTGTCTTGAAAAATATCTATTAAAATATTATTTACTGTCATCATGGCAAAGATTAAATAAATCAGTTATTAGAAATGAGTAATTAAAACTAGTATGATTAGAAATGTGTTGAAAAAAATCTGCTCTCTGCTAAACAGAAATTGGGGGAAAAAGGGAGGCTATTAATTCTGACTTCAACTGTAAGTTAATAGTGTGTACTGTTTGCTGGATTTTGTAATATAAAATAAAATGAATATAAACAACTTTTTTTTAAGAAAGCAATTCATAAATGTTTAGAACCACTTGAGTGTAAGAAAATGAAGAAATGTTCTTTCTAGAGTAAACTATCCCCTACATGAAAATATTTATTGGCTCATGAGTCACTAGTATAATACCGGTGCATCGTAAGTATCCCAAGTAAACATGATATGTGAATAAAAGTTCAAAAATGAACCAGTATGTGGCATAATTGGACTCACCATAAAAAAGAAAAGCTTTAGTCTGTGGATGGGAATAATATGACTTGTTAACAGTGAAGAAACATCTGTTATGACCACACTCTCCAAGACGTCCCAGTTCTCCAGTCAGAGGAGACCACCACACGATGACAGGGTACTGGACATCTGAAACATGAGCGTTCGCCTGAACTTTAATGTCCTCAAAGCGTTTAATCTGCTGTCTGTGTTCAGTCTGCTCAAACTGGCCCAACAGCTCAATAACCTACAGAAAGCAAACAATACTGTCAGGATTTAAAAATGTAAGTTTAACGTTTAGCTGTTAAAATCTTATCTGAATTAATCTATTAAAAACAATAAACATTTTGTGTCAGGTTAGACTACACGAAAAATGGAAAAGGGAGTGTTTAGTAAAAGGAGATACCAAGGATGAGGATAGGGTAGAGATTTATCCAAATGTTAGTGAGATTTCCCAGGGGCCAGAAGATAAACATCTGCAAACAAGAGACACTTAATGCTAGCATAAGTATGTTTTATTCAGGTTATATTTAGATAAGGCACAGTGCTATATGGTAAAGAGGTAAAGTTGCTTTTATATTCGCACATTCGTTCATTTAAAAGTCCCTATATTGTTTACCATGTTACTTTGAATATTCGACCGGAATTAGCATGCAAGTGTGTCATGAAAACAACATTTACACTGTTTATTTGACTGTGAACAATGTTGTACTTTGATAGTCACTGGCTGCTAATGTGATTTGGCTATTTAGAGTTTGCAAATAATAATTTTATGAAATTATATTATTAAGGGGAAAGTCTGAATGTGCGAATATAAAACCAACTTTACCTCTATCTATATGGTCGTATGTTATAGCATTATAACGTTAATCCCAGTTGAAACATGCTGACTAGAAATACGCTTTAACGCTTAATAAGCTTAAAATTATTTTAAAAAATAAAAGCTCGCCAGAAAACAGCATGTAGAACAATCTTTAAGTGTAAATGTTTGCTAACTATTTAAAGTTTTAACTTAAAGGCAAACATTTATTGTTTTACCTGAAATGTCATGACTAAAAACGCAAACGCACACGCGCAGAGACAAAAAGAACAAAGTTTTTTCACGGAGATTCGCCTCATGTTAAACACTCCGTCCATGCGCGCTCCGTTAAAAAAAACAAAATGAAAATGAAACTTTTAAGTTATTTATTTTAGTCGTGTGGATTTTGGGGGTGTTTGCCTTCTGTAACAGGCCAACATGATTTAGTCCTGTAAATAACAATAACTGATGGTCAAGCGGCTGGTGGTGAAGAGCGTCCTCTACGGTTCTTCCGTAGTTTATCGTCACTTCCGTTGAGCTCCCGTTTGAACTACAGACACTTCCTTTAGGAAAACTTATTAACACGCAGAGTGGGGCAAACCGGGGAGAAAGATGAAGCGTTTGTGCCAGATTTATTAAGAAAACCTTTTATTTTTTACAGATTAATTTATATGGACAATATTTAATTTATAAATCAATTCAATAATTAAATTAAATAAATACATTTTATTTGTATGTGTATATATATATAGGCTACTATAGAAGAATTACCATGTTTGAAAACATTCTGGATGCGCGCGCAGCGAGGTTGCAAAAAAAAAAAAACCCGGGAGCGCTAGCATTAACAGTGAGGGAATGACATCCGATGGCGGTACACAGTTTGTTTTTGTCTTAGAAATAAGTTATATTGATTACATGTCATATATATTATTTACATAATGCTTTCAGCGTATTAAAACAGCTTGTCATTCACTGATAAGCACAGTTATTTGGCAAAATTAACGTTAAAGTGAGCGGCGTTCGTCTGACAGGTTCATTTGCGATAGCACCTTCTCAACGGATATTGGATAAAATGAATGGCCAAGCATCCAGCCTGAAATACCTCATTGAAACTCCAAGTGATTGTACAAGAAAGAAGTTAAAGGCCTACAAGTCTTTTTATGCCAACAGTTTTGTTCTGTGTAGTCATGTGCAGGAAATAATGTTCCATGATTACCAGATTCAAAACTATGTAGTGCTAAAAACCGAGGTTCTGCCTAGCCAAAGACAAGGAAAGAAGATGGAGCTATACAAGGCTTGGGTAATAATCAACAAGCAAAACAACTGCATTCTGACAGCGAACTGCATCTGTACGGCAGGGTATGTGAACTTACATTTTTACATTTCACAGCATTCAGTGTCCATAGTTTAATTCACCACATGTAACTGTTTTTGCCGAAATCATTGCTGCAATCAAAAACCAGTAACGTGTATGATTCAGCATAGCGTGAACTTACCTGATATAACATGAGAAATGCAGACTCCAGCATTTTTAATTAGGTTGTCACTCATTCAGCTTCCTTTTTATGTAGGTTGGTAATTCCTCTATAATGTATAGATACATTTCACTCTTAACGTCTCTCTCCCTCTCTCTCTCTCTCTCTCTCACACACACACACACACACACACACACACACACACACACACACACACACACACACACACACACTTTATTAATATTATACTAATCAATTAACATCATGGCCACACTAATCAATATTATTGTATGTCATTGTAAACATGTTTTTAAGTTAAACTTGTTATTATATGAACTTATAATACTTAATAACTTAATTCTATTTTGCCAATTTGCTTCAATAATAACCAGTTAAAAAGTAGAAATAAAATAAAATAGCCCATTAAACTTTGACTGAAACTTTTAAAAGGGCTACTTTTTACTCATACTTTGAGTAATATTTAAAATGGATACTTTTACTCTACTTGCACTACATTTTTAGGCAAGTAATGGTACTTTTACTTGAGTATGATTTTTCAGTACTCTTTACACCACTGGGGACAGCAGATCAATAAACCCACTACAGCAGGGGTGGCCAACCCTGTTTCTGGAGCGCCACCTTCTTGCAGATTTCAGTTGCTACCCATATCAAACACACCTGAACCAATTAACCAGGACCTAAACACCTCGTGATAATTACAGGCAGGTGTGTTTGATATGGGTTGCAACTGAAATCTGCTGGTTGGTGGCTCTCCAGAAACAGGGTTGGCCACCCCTGCACTACAGTTTGACCTGTTAGACAGCATAATGTAGATTGCAACTATGAAGTTTATTTATAAGGATAGTGTCTATTTTAAATATTTATAAAATCTGAGAGACAGCGCGTCTGCATCCATCAGCCTGTCATCAAGCGGAGCAAAGAAGGTGAACGATGTCTATCCATAAGATGGCGACTGAGACTACATAATGAGCTACATCTGATCAAAACAATATAATATTGGTGAGTGACATTTCAATCTCTCTTTTTCATGTTGCAGTGCTGTATTTGTTATTATACCATATAATTGTAGTGTATTGAGTATGAGATGGGACTCAGGAATATATGTATTTTGTGTTGGCCACTCTTCATATAACCCTGAGTTACTTTTTGGTTGGTCATTTGTTTGTTTCTAATGAGTGTCCTGTTTTCGTTAGTGCAGATTAGTTCAGTAAAAAGGAAGAAGAGCGTTTATCATTTTTCCTTATTGCAAACACAACAAACATCTGGTGATTGTGTTCCTTTGGCTTTTTTGGGGATAATTATTGTGATCTCCTGGATGCAACAGAGAAATAGTGGGAAATATCTCTAGACTGAGGGCATTTCATGCAGTTCACCCTTATAATCTTAAAATGTGGACAAAATAACCTGTTTTGTCATCGCTTTAGACATTACGCTAGAGAACAGGTGTCAAATCCAATTCCTGGAGGACTGCAGCTCTGCACAGTTAGCTTCTACCGTAAACCGACACACCGGATCGAACTAATTAGGCGAGTTTCCACTATGGTGCCTGAAGCGAGCGAGCCAGTCTGGTAAAGATGGCATGCCGTCATTACACTAGTTTTCTGATCGCACACGAGTACATGCGGCAAACAAGTAAATAAATAATGGAAAGAAAACATCTAGCCTTATAGGCTGAGGTCTTTTTGCTTATGATCGCCTTTATGTTTCCCTTTTAAATGTTAGGCTGTTGCATAAAATAATAGAGTTTTAATTAATAAGTGATTATTAATCCTTCTTGATGTTTCAATAATGCATAAAAATCTTTACACCGTATTAAAGACACAGCAGCTAGTAAAGGTTGTCGAGAGTTTTTGTCAAGTTTAAAAGGTGTGTTTGTGCATGATACGTCCGCGTTAGATGCCTGTATGTATGTGAGAGACCGGGCAAAAGAGAGCTCACTTCACAGCTCTGTTGATGCCGCGAGCGGCTTTTTTCTTTTTTTTTTTTATTTTGGAGATAATACAATATGAATACAACAGAAAGACAAAAAACTTTACAAAGTACGTGTCCACTTGTAGACACAAAACAATAGTGTTATATCTTGATAAAATAGCCTAATATTTATTTAAATCATTTAAAGAATTACAAATATCGGATTTAATAAAATCACAATAAATAAATTAACCAATATAAAACAAACAAAAGCTAGCTATAACAATGTAGAAATATATAATACATAAATCAAACCATTTTAAAGCCATATATAACTTTTATTTTACAAATGCCTTTCTGAAAAAAGTTTTTAGATATTTTCTAAAAACAATAAACACTGAAGGAGGTTTAAAATATTATTTATAAAGTATTTGGATACGATGATATTAATCAAGTCGTGCAAACAGAGCATTTTAGGGTGAGTGAAGCAGAAACTAGGCTACCAGCGACGCTTTACAAACGCATCGGGGAAAACTGCAATTAAAAAATGTGTTCTGTGTCCTCAAACAAGTGTTAATGTTGTTATATGACGTGGTCAAATTTAAAAATGAAATTTTAAATGTAGAGCTTTATTAGTAAAAAGCTGCTGAGCGCAACGAAATATAGGCTATATGTTATTACTTGCTCTTATGTGCTGAAATGCTTACTGTAACATTCTCCTTTACCTAAGATCACCACATACCATGCAACATCCCTAAATAAAGGGGAATTGCCTATTAAGTGTCATATAGCCTAGGGAAATATTAATATGTTTTAGGTCTCTCCAGAGCATTTGGGCTGAATGTTTGATCTATCTAAATGAGGATGTTATAAAATACATTTTCTACCGATATATTACCGGAGAATTTCTGTGGTTTTATGTTATGGATGGATGCGCTCACTGCGCTGGGTCCCTCCGTTAGTGGCAAGACCACTTTATGCATGATGCCAACAGTCGGTCGGCGAGTAAATATAATGAATGAGAATACACAGGCCTGTGCGTATGGACATATAATGAAATGCTGTACAGTAACGGGTCATTTTACTCGTTTCGTGATGATGCAATGGTGTGCTTTATCTCCCTGATTCCCGCTGAAGTGGGCGGGTTGTGTGACGTTTGATTCGGGGGACATTCGGATGGCGGGCACTTCAGATCAATTTGGATGGGCACTTTCTGTCCATGACTTAAAGGACTGGTTGAGCCCTATGTGTCTCCAGAAACTGTATTTGATACCTGCAAGCTACAGAATCATTCAAATACTAGCTCGAAAGTGACGTTTCTGGCGACAGCTGCAGATATGAATGAATGGCGGAAGAAAGTAGTTCCTCATACAAAAAGATTTTTAGCCTCTCCGTTTGATTTTCTTTTTTATATACACGATTATGCCATCGAACTGTTGTATAAACGCAGTACCACACTCGAAGCAGTGCGATATGGCTGTATGTTGTCACTGGTGGGGACTCACACCTCTTACCGATGCCGATATACAGCCATATTGCACTGCTATGAGTGTGATATTGCTCATGTCTTTTGATATGTAACTAGCCACATTTTATAGAAAGTATTTCCCAACAGCAATACAACTCAAATGGAATGGAGTATCTGAATTATAACGCCATGAACAATAGTTTTTTTCCCAATTGCTTTCATTTTCAAAAGTAACCCTCATTTACACACAAATCTAAGAAATGCACACACAGTGTCTCCCTCTCTCTCTCTCTCTCTCTCTCTCTCTCTCTCTCTCTCTCTCTCTCTCTCTCTCTCTCTCTCTCTCTCTCTCTCTCTGTGTGATGTATGTCTGCTTTAATACATGAAGTTCACAGGGGCAAACTGTGAGTCATACCTGTTTGCTTCCATGGCAACAACAAAAATACTTTGAGTGGCCATTCTCCTTTTCCTGTTGGAGAGGAGAAATTCTTACAGCATCCACTCATGCACATAACGACGAACACATTATGATCAACAACGTTGTATGAACTATCTATGACTATGAGATAAAATGACAAAACAACTGTTTTTGATTCATTTTAAATGTATTTTAGTATAAGTCTTTGATTCATAATTATGGTGATTTTTCAGAAAGCAGGCAAACAAATTCCATAGGATGTCACAAATGTAAAAGGGTCAATAAAGCACCTTT